CCACCACCACTATCGTTTTTTGTCGTCGTCATCATCATCACCATCATCAGCATCTTCCCGCCACCTCTCTTCCCCTCGTTTTTCATAATAATCTCTATCTGTCGTTTCAGTCGTAGGCATTGCCAACTGATTAACTGACGTGGGCTCGTGTAGAAAGCAGAACCACGGTTTAGCGACATGCGTGCGACTGTTGGAGCAGGGGATTCCATTCGACGGAGGTCTCTTAAGCCAGGATAATCGCACCATCTTCCTCCAAGTTCCTTTCAACACTATGTTTGTAAACTTCCATGGACTGTAAGACCCATGGATGCGCAGTAGGCGTTGCAGCTCGTGGAACGCTGACCGAGGTCCTCATATATGCAACTTTCGGGTATGCAGTATTTGTTACGTGTGCTTAAGTTGTCTCAGAAACCGTGTCCCCTACGAGTATTGTCAGCCACTCCTCACACTTGGACTATTGATAACAATCTCTCAGGCAGCATGTAATTTTACGCATGTTTCCCTAGGCATATTAGAAGCTGGGGCATCAGCTTTTATATTGAGGCATCAGTCTGCCTTCGCATTGATGCTCCTACTTGCAAAGCAATGCTGTTATGAGTCGGCTTGTTAAACCTGCTTGCTTGGTAGGCTAGCTCGTCTTCAGCAATGTTTTCTTCTAGATAACCGAGCTGGATGACTGGAGCCACGTCCAACGTCCGCGCCTCGGGCTCCTCGGGGCACGGGCATTTCCACACAGAGAACCTGACCCCGCTAACACAAACTTGTAGAATGAACAGACCATAAACACACAAGCATGTCTTGTCTTTATTCCACCGGTTAGTTGTGGCAGTTAGGACGCTCCCGTTTTAGCCGTTACGGTCCTCAGGCCACTGGGTCTAGACCATACAGGCTTGAGGGTGAATTTGACTGGAATACGACGGCCAGTGGGTCAGAGGCGGCCTCAACAGTCACCCAATTTTTTGTCTGCACTTTCTTCTCTGCAGATAATGCGACTTCCGGTGAGACTGAGTCCTAAGGTAACCAGACGAGCACGTGGCGTAGCCTGGCCGGTAAAGGTGCTTGTATCAGCAAAGTTGGTGAACTCGGTAAAGCAACGAAAGACAGCGAAGTGTGTTGTAATGCTAGCTAGATGGGGTAGCTGATGCTTTCGTTGGCTTTATGGCGTCGGTGCCTAAAAGACATCCACAGTGGGCGGGCATTGTCGTATTGGTGCCATCCTACAAGTGTGTACCGGCTGAGCTGACCTGAGCAAAAAGATCGCTTGCGGTCGTGCCGATCAACCCCTTCAGTCGTCAAGATCAGTCCGTGTGAATCAGTACAAGTGCGTGCACATCCAGACGATCGCGGACATCTGCGAGCATGTCTAGTACTGGTGCCCGAAGAGAA